TTTTTTTTTTTTTTTAATTTAGTTCTAAGACTCGATGCGAATGAGTGATGCGATTATTGTGATACGCACAGTGAAAATTCTGAATCTAAATAGACAAATTATTAAGTAATTTTATTGTTAAAATGTATTTTCTTTCAATTGTGGAAAAATGTTGAAGATGGAAATTGTAACAAAATATTGTTCTTTTCTTAAATTTATGTATATATTATTTTTAAAAAGAATGTAAAAGTAACTAAACAATGCTCTTATTGTAAATTATAAATTATAAAGTCTCATGGAATCATATGCATAGAAAATTGTTCGCTTCAGTATCAATACATTTTTGGAATAACTGAACATTATTATAATTTCAGTTAAAATTAAAATTTCTATTATTGTGCTACAAATTTTGCACTCATAAATATATTATCTAATTTAAAAATTTACTGCAACGTTGTAATAGTAACGATATGTAATTCGTTATGTTTATATTTTCAGTAGCGAGCTCGCGTGCATAGCATCAATAAAAATATAATTCTACAAAATCATACGTCATTACAAACTCGCATCAATCAATAGTGATAATATAGTCTATAAACACAATTTAATTCAATGATTTAATAAAAACAATGATTTGTCAGTCTATAGATTGCTTGGAACTATTTTGGACGAATTTAAGTTATTCAAATAGCAATATAATTTTAAACTCATTAACGAAGTTCCAAAAATTCATGACAAGAATAGATAGACTAAAATAATTCATTTTCAATGCTTTGATTAATTTCTATCAACATAATTATTAATATAACTTTTATAAAATTTATTAATTTAAGACAAGATCTTTCCTATATTCGTTAAGTATATAATTAATTCTTAATTCTTTATTATTTAATTAATATAAAAATTTCTAATGTTCCTCATTATGCGAAACTCTTCGTTTAATCTTGATCTTGTCGTTTATTTGCATCAAGTCTAAATAATCAGTAATAAGGAAACGATCGATTGAAGAATTTTCTAAACGATATGAGAACTTGATAGGGAGACACGATTCACAATTGAAAACAAGTGTGAAACTATTACCGGGCGAAATACAAGATTTAAATGATTTATTATATAATTAAAGGTATTTATACTTTTGAAAAGGGTATCGTTCAAGAGTTTCCTTGCATTTTTTTTGTCTGCTCAATATATATCTTGGAATACCCGCTATGTTGGAACATGGGTGTTCTTTCTCGTTTCTTTTGCTGAACTTCAGCAGCCATTCCATCGGAATCGTTTCATAGAAAATCACGAGAAGAATAATAGATAATGTTCGATTCTACGTAATTTTCTAAGAAGCGCATTCTGTTTCGAACAATGTCAAATTTTTGATCGGAGATGTGCAAGTATGCGTATGTGGTGTATGCCATTGATTATGGTGTTTTTACGATTCACCGATTGTGTTTG